AAAAAAAAAAAAAAAAAGCCAAAGCAGTTTCCTACTAATGGCGGCTGAAGCCTGCTCACTGGTGTTCCTGTCTGGGCAGCCTGTGGGCAGACAGAAACCGCTAACCTGCATTCCCTGTTTAGAATGTGGTGTCCATCCCACTGACCTCTGTGTCAGAGCCACCTGACCTGAAGTTGCCTGGGCCAGAAGTCGCATCAATGGAAACCGCCAGCCTGTGCTTGGATGAAATGGGAAAATGCCTGTTTTTCTCAAGGAGCCTACTCACCACTGGAACGCCATCCCCAAGAAGAAACTCAGCCCAACTGGCCAGCTTAGTGGACATGGATCTGCTGCCTTACTCAGCCTGTGTCTCCTTTCCTTTTGCATTGAGGCTGCCGGGTGCCCAACCTGCTCTGAGCCGGCAGTCCTCAGTCTGTGACTGAACCAGGAGGAGTCAGGACACCCACATGCATGAAGAATTTCTAATATCATAGAGAAATGTCGCTAATGCAATTTTAAGGTGAAAAAGCAGGACACAAGACTACATTTAGTGTGGTATCGATCATATGACACACACTAAGGATTTGTGTGTGTGTGTATGTATACATGTGTGTGTGTGCATGTGTGCACGCCTGCCTATATATGTGTGTGTTTGTAATGAGGCTAGGACTCGGACCTTACCCTCTTATTTTTTCTGCTCAAGGCTGGTGCTCTACCACTTGAGCCACACCTCCACTTCTGACTTTTTGCTGGTTAATTGAAGACTTGTCTGCCAACTGCAATCCTCAAACCTCAGCCTCCTGAGTAGCTAGGATGACAGGCATGAAGCACTGGCAACAAGTGGATTTTTTTTTTCTTAAAGCATAGAAACAACCAGAAATATTGATTTTGGAGGATAGAATTGTGGGTGATTTCTGTTGTTCTGGTATGTTTTCCAAAATTCTCAACTTTTCCACGGTGTAATCTATGCATTTCAAAGGATGAGTAATTACAGTTCCTGAGCTCTTGCCACAAACTCGGGCTTTATCTCTGCACATGCTTGTATAGTGGTCTTTTTCAACAGATTATAAAACAATAAAACACCTAAATACTTTTAGTCAGCTACTCATTTCAGATTTCACATCTTGCCTTTTGTGTGCTGTGTCCATATTTATATATTTCAGCCCTATTTTTTTTACCAGTCCTGGGCTTGAACATTGTCTCTGAGCTTTATTGCTTAAAGCTAGTGCTCTACAACTTGAACCATTCTTCTTCTGGCTTTTGGGGAAATAAGAGTTTAATTGGAGCACCTGTGGTTTGTGCCTGTAATCCTAGCTACTCAGGAGGCTGAGATATGAGGATCACAATTCAAAGCCAGCCTGAAGTCCAAGAGACTCTTATCTCCAATAAACCACTCAGAAAACTGGAAGTGGTACAGTGGCTCAAGTGGTAGAACCCTAGATGGACAGCGCTCAGACTCAGAGTTCAAGCCTCATGATCTACAAAAAAAAAAAAAACGTTTAATTGGAGATAAGAATCTTGTGGGCTTTCCTGTCTAGGCTGGTTTCAAATTGAGATCCTTAGATCTCAGCTGCCTGAGTAGGTAGGATTACAGGCATAAACCACTGAAGACTGGCCTCAGATCTTTATGAAAGTACTGTTAAACTGGTACTTTTCTGTTTCCAAAGCACTTTTAAGAGAGAAACCAGATGGTAGGAAGCTCCAGCAGGGTCTGACCTTAAGTCACTGGAACTGGAAAGACCTAAGGAGTGGTCCAGTACCGTGTGGCCCAGAGGTGGCAACTTACTGGGATCAGAGGGGGTCTCAGCTAGAAACCAACCCATTGGCAGGTAGACCAATTTAATAAGTCCTTTGTGCCTTTCATCTCAAACATGGAATCTAAGCATAAATAACTCTGTATACAAAACATGTTAACATACTCAAATGGAAGTTTACTTGCCTCGCCAGTGTATATCCATCCCCAAACTCAAACCCTCATGGCACAAACAAAGCCAAACAAAAAGTATTGTATAAGCAAACTCAAACATCAATGACTGCTTTTGTTTGTTTGTTTGTTTGGATTTTTTTTTTGCTGGTCCTGGGTCTGAACTTGGCCTGGGTGCTGTCCCTGAGCTCTTGAACCCAGGGCTAATACTCTACCACTCACCACAGCACCTCTTCTGGCTTTTTCTGCTTATGTGGTGCTGAGGAATCGAACCCAGGGTCTCATGCTTGCAAGATAAGCACTCTATCACTGTTTTTATGCAAGTGTTTTCATAAAAGAACGAATTAGTTGCCAGAGTTTTGCATAGGTCTGTCATATATGGCTTATCTATTATGCTACCATGTACTATGTCACTGGAGCTTTGCTGGGGCCCACTCACACCTGGAATCCTAGATACTCAGGAGGTGGAGATCTTCAGATCAAGGTTTGAAGCCAGCCTGAGCAAACAAATCTGAAAGTCTCCTATCTCCACTGAACCGTCAATAAGAGCTGGAAGAGGAGGTGTGGCTCAAATGATTGAGTGTCAGCCTTGAGTGAATAAGCTTAAGAAAGAGTATGAAGCCTTGCATTCAAGTCCCAGTATCCTGCACAAAATACCAGCAGCTACAAAGAAGGACCTTGAAATATTACTGCAAAGACATTCTGGTTTCCCTGAGAACTCAAAACAAGAGCAAGACCAGGAAAGTTGGAGTAGGAAAATGCAAAATGTGAAAGTGATTCCCAATGCACATTTGTTTTATTTCTCTTGTTCTCTTGAGCCAGTACTGGCCCTTGAACTCAAGGCCTAAGCATTGTCCCTTAGCCTTTTTGCTCAAGGCTGGAACTCTATCATTTGAGCCACAGCCTCACTTCCTACATTTTGCCGGTTAACTGGAGATGAGTCTTTTGGACTTGTCTGCCTGAGCTGGCTTTGAACTTCAAACCTCAGATCTCAGCCTCCTTAGTAGCTAGGATTATAAGTAAGAGCCATGGGTGTCCACACAAATAAATGCACGTTTTTAAGCAAAAGACATTCTTTTGTTATGATTGGCAGTACTGAAGTTTGAACTCAGAGCCTTGTACTTGCTAGAAAGGTGCTCCATGCCTCTAACCCTTTTTACTTGAATTCTTTTTCTGATAGGGTCTTATATTTTTACCCGGGTGGATGAAAACTGTTATCCTCTCTGATCTCTTCCTCTTTTTTTTTTTTTTTTTTGGTTCCAGTCCTGGGGCTTGAACTTGAGGGCTGGATACTGTCCCTGAGCATTTTTGCTCAAGGCTAGTGCTCTTCCACTTGACCCACCACTCTATTTCTGGCTTTCTGGTAGTAAATTGGAGATAAGATCATTTCAAGGACTTTCTTGCCAGTGCTGGCCCGAAACTAAGATCCTCAGATCACAGCTCCTGAGTAGCTAAGGATTACAGGCATGAGCCACTAGT